TAAAAAAAAATTTTTAATTTGAAACATAAGCGTAGAAGAAAACAGTCACGATATAGAACAAATAAATGGAAAGAAAAAAAAAGACACAAGACAGGGGTACATAACTTATCATATCAAACGAAAAGATTAAAAGACTTACATATTTCAATTGTTTGGTACACGAGTTAGAGATAATCCCAAAGCAATGTACTAAGACGTCGTTCCCTGGGTTGCGTCAGTGGAAAAACAAACAGGTTCTGAACGGGTTCACAATTTGAACCAACTCCGAACCAACTTTGGACCAGCACCAGTTCCGAACCAGTTCTTTTTTTTCGGTGGAAAAGGGGTAATTGGTGCCGTGACCCGGATGAGAGTGAGGTTTAGGGGGATTAGTGTAACGGAGGCCAGCTAGTAGTTGCTGTGCAAGTAAACCTCACTCTCCTGATCTCAATATCCCGCTCGGAGCGGGTCGATTGGGACCCTGGTGGAGGGGTTACATATATATATAGCAGCGTCAACTGACAGTGTCTGAAACAGATAAAGGAATCAGTCTCTCTAAATCCCTCCTTTCTTAGAGTCTACTCTGCTCTGATTGGACAGATAGCCCAGTCTACCGGTTACAGCGCATGTCGGATGTACAGCGCTCGTTACCAAATCTGAATTTCAGCTCCAGATCATTCTCAGCACTTGATACACAGTGATACAAACTGTAACAATGGCGTCGGTTTTCCCATATCAATTCCAGCGCAAGTCCTCATCCTTTAAAAAAGTGCATGGATTTGCTTTTACAGCACAGAAAACAGTGTCTTCTCGACATGTCGACAACACGAACTGAAGTTGTACAGGCCTACGCTACATCTCAACTACAGTGTTTGAGGGCGGGCCATCAATGAACACCATAGGCTGGGATTATGCAAATTAGATTTGAATGACAGCTCAGGTTTTTCAAGCTTACAACAAAGTAGTAAAAGTACAGATAAAGTACAAAAGTTGGTGTGAGCTGTCATGAACTCTTTTTGTTTGCTCTTTTTAATCCAAATTGAAGTCTCAACAGAGAGTATTTACAACTCTAATCTCTCATATCCCTTTTTAATTATTTCTTAAGCTGTATTAAGAATTATACACCAAGAATTGTTTAAAAGATAGCGTCAAGCGTCAAGTGCCAAAATCTGATTAGTTTGAACTGAAGCTATTGTACAATAAATGACAAACATATCTGTGACCATCAGCTAAGTTAAACACAAAATCAAAATAAGGGTTTATTTACTTTCTTAAAACATGTTCACAATTCATGAATGTTATTGAAAAGAAAACAAAAATGTCTTTGCAAGCTTTTTTAATTAAAATGTAATAACTTGATTTTACCTCTGAAAGGACTCTTGTTCCTCAGACTGGAAACTAGGCCATGTGGGTTGGGAAAATAATGCAGAAAATAATTCTTTTTCTTATTCAATATTATGATTCTCTTGGAAATATATCACAATGGTTGCAAATGCAATTTCATGTTGATTTTAATGCACTATTTTATTTGGCTACTGTAAACAGCTTACAGTTAGGATGATGAACTATATTCTTAGCTGAAAATGTATCTTTCATCATACTGATGTTGCAACTGTTTTATAAAAGCAATAATCTTCTATAATGCTGTGCATATTGCTTTATTTTCCTCACTTTTAAGGTACCAGTTGAACACTATGGTGGTGGACACGGAGGCAGGCCCCCACCGCAATCGAACTGTGGTGTTTCTTGGGTCCACCAGGGGAACCGTTCTCAAGTTCCTAATAACACCCAGCCCAGAGAACCAGTACTCCAACACCAACACCTTTCTGGAAGAGCTGGAGGGCTATAACCCTGAAAGGTGAAGAGATTTCTTTGCTTCAAACACTATTGTTTTTTCAGGCACTGTTCAGTTTTGGTCTATTTTGCTTGCTATTGCTTGCCTGCATTACTTTTCTGCTGTCAGACTTGTGGTAAGAAAACATCCAAAGTACACATGTATACGGTGGCCGGGAGAACTCAATGTGCCGCAACTGAAGAAAACACATGCAAATAGATAAAACACAGGCACATTAAGAAAACATTCTCACGTGCTGAAAATACTCACAAAGCT